TAAGCTACGTAATCCCCCTTTCTCCCTGGTAAGTCGTTACGCCTGCCTCTCTTTTGATATCTACTTATATTGCTGTGGCCATCGTTGTCGTCGTCGTTGTTGTTGATGTTTTTTTGTTTTTTTTTGCAGGTGGAGTTTCGCGGGAGCCTATCCCTGGAGCACGAGGCGACCAAGAAGGCGTACGGCCTGCTCCACCGGACCGCGTCGGAGCTGTGCACGGCCGTCAAGGAGGACTTCCCCAACGCTGCGCAGGTGGCCTCCAGGATCAATTTTTTTAAGATCTCCTTCCGTCCTCAACAACCCACCACCACTAGTTGTCCCCTGTAACGACGGAATAAATGGATGGAATGCCGCGGTCCGGGCTGCCTCCAACCCTCCACTTTTTTGTTTTTGTTTCTTGTCGCCGTTGGTTTTTCCTTGGTATGTATGCATGACGACGGCGTCACGAACGGAGTGGTCTCCTGTATAAGACGGGATGAAATAAGGGCCGGTGGCCCTGCCGAATAACGTTGTCTCTCATACTCTGAGCAGTGCTGGATGCCTGGTACTGTATGCGACCGGCCAAATGCCCCCGTTGGCACAATGCGGCCTCATGCAGGCATCACTGCCTTATTCAGGGACCACTGCTACTGCCGTGTTCGATTCAAGTTTCGAGCACGCTTGTGTTTGTTTGAGAACCATCGCTTGTTCCTCTTTCCTGGTAGTCCTTGCTGCTGCCCCTGCCCTCCCGCCCCCCCACCCACCCCTGTCTGCTGGCCCCCCGTCCGCTCCATCAACCTCTCCGCCATCTCGTGCTGTCCCGTCTGCGGAACTGGTTTCTTGGAGCAGGACCTGACTTTCGACATCCACAACAACGCTATCTTCCTGACCAAGCTTCCGGCCAACAGCAACAACGCCGCGACCAGAACCAGCGGCGGCGGCAGCAGCAGCAGCAGCAGGTCGAAGCGACCGAAGGGTAAGGAAGCGGCGGACGGCAACGGCGACGGCGACGCCTCTCCCGACACCAAGAAGGAGAAGAAGAAGCCCAAGTTCCTGAACCCGCACGATCGGAACGGGAAGCTGCTGCCCAAGAGGTTCACCACCGAGAGGGTGAGTGAGTGAGTCACAGTCAGTGGCGCCTGAGTGACAACGTCGGGGCTACGCGAAACGATGAGAACCGAATCGTAGACAGCGTTACCATAATCGGTCCACCCTTTCTGGGTGCTATGTACTTCTCGGCTTCCGTTTCGCGTTCCGTTGATCCCCACGCTACACCAATCCCAGCCCCCCCGCTTCGATTCGAGGTATCCGCCCTGTCGCCCCTGGCCGCTCTGTCCTATGAGTTGGCGTGTTTTTTGGCTCTGGTTTATTCTTTTTTCACCACTCTCGCCACTGTTTCAGGTGAGCACGGCGTTGTCGGGGTACTTGACAGCCATCGAAGAGACAAAGACCGCGGTCCAGTCCCAGCTGCAGGCGCTCAGCGACTCGATCGTCACGAACAACGACCTCCCCGTCATCGCACAGGTTTGTACGACTGCTGTATCTTGTACCCCACGAGTCCGCAACCGGTCACATTTACCGAGTGCTGCTGGCGTACAAGCCATGTCTATCGCAAAGACAGGCTTCGCTTTCGCTCTCTCCCGGTTGTGTGTGTGTATGTGTTTTTTTTTTGTTCGTGTTCATGGACTTCCATTATTGTTGTTTTCAAAATCGGCCCCCTCGTCTATCGACCTGACTAACTTTTTCCTCTCCCTCGCTTCCGTCTTTACCCTGCATATCTCCCTCCTGTCGGCGCCGTCTCGTAAGGCCGCTCACTGGTCGGTCATTTGCCAGGCGATGGAGGGGCACGTGCGGCACGCCTTGTCCTCCGGGTGGTCTCTGCCGTCCCTCAAGGATCTCAACAACCCGGACATGAGCATGAAGGTAGGTGCAGTAGTAGGCGTGTGTCGATCGCTTCAGAGAAAACGCAGCGTTACCCACTTTTTTTCGTTTTGTGGTTGTTGTCATGGCCGTGATGGGCGGTAAAACTTACCCGTACACACTTGAAGTGGGCTAAAAAGGCGGGAAGTGATGCGATAGGGTGGGGAAGTTTGTTTTTGGGCCACCTTTGCCAAAGTAGGAAGGAATGGTTGGGCCATCGATGATCGGTCTTCTGTGGGAACAATTCTCCGTCCTCTCGAGGACGCGTGGTCAATGGCCTAACAGCTAAGGCATGCAAAATGTGAGTACGCCCCCCCCTTAAGTAACCCACAGGTAGTCTTGCGGTGATTGTATGTATACCCTCCCCCCTCCCCCCTGCTTCGCGCTTGGTGGTGTGAGAGCCTGGTCCGGTCAGAACGCGGCATGCTCCGTCTCCGGCTTTGTAGACTAGAGATGCGAGAGGTCAATGGTCTAACGGCTACGGCATGCAGAGCTATGACTGAGTACACCCCCCTCCCCCCCCCCCTGATGATAATCCAGTATTTCTGTGACTGTTATGTATCTGTTCCAACCTTCCCAATTTCCCCCCACCCCCAACAAATGCCGGCCTTGCTGCCACTGCCCCTGCCCCCCCCCCCGCCCCCGCTTCTAACTTGTTCCAGTTCTCGCTCAGGACTTGGGCTCTGACGATGACTCTGGTTGGGATGTCGTACTTCTTCGCCTTCTGCCATATGCGGAAAATAGGCACGTTTGCTTTTGTTTCACCCTTTTATTTGTTGGGTCGTTTT